TTTGCTATGGTCACTTCATAAAATGAATTCTAAATGGTTTTCTTCTATGAAAGAATTATTTACAGTTTTTTTATTAAGCATTAGTTAGAAGTATCTAATGAAACCATCAAGACCTGTAGATTTTTGGTTTGGTCATTTTTAAGTCGTTGATTATATTACCTTAGTAATTGCAGGGCTGTCTGGTTTATCAGTTCTATTTTGGGTGAATAGTGGTAGTTTTCTAGGATTAATCCATTTCTAAGTTATTGAATTTATTAGTGTAGAATTTTTTGAAATTGTTTTTATCCTGTTATTGTCTACAAGAGCTACATTGATAGCACCTATGTTATTTTTAAAACTCTCTCTTTATGTTCTTTTTCCTTTCCACTTTTGTTAGAGGTTTATCAGTTTCAGGGATGTTTGCAAAAAGCTAGCTCTGAGCTTTACTACATTTTTCCATCAAATTTCATTAATTTGTGTTGTTTTGTTTTCTTGGTACCAGGAATCAAACTCCCACTTGCCAGGCAGGCGCTGTGCTGCTGAGCTATATCCTGCCCCCTGATCTGTGCTTTTATCACTGCTATCCCATTTGCTTTGGGCTTAATTTGCTCTTCTTGTAGATTCTTAAGGTGAGAGCTAGGTTGACACTTTTTTTCTTTTCAAGATATACACATTTAACACTATAAATTTCTCTGTTAACACGGATTTAATTGTGCTTTATGAATTTTTGTATGGTGTATTTTCATTTTCATTAAAGTCACTATTTTTAATATTTTGCTTGAAATTTCCTTTTTGACCCATGTGGATTATGTTAAAGTATTTTTGTTGTTTATAAGTTTTAGGAGATTTTCTTTTGACCTTTGTTTTCACTTCTAATTTTATTTCATTGTATTGAGAAAATATGGTATGACTTTTTATATGACTTATTATTTTACATTTTTGAGATTTTACTTATACTCTTGTAGGTTATACTTATAGGATAATCCTCTTGGTAAGTAAGGATGTATAGTTTTAAAAAAAATCAATCAACAACACCAACTCCCCTACTCAAAGTTTGTATTTTACTCCTTTTTCTTTTTAAGACAGGTTCTCACTGTGTAGTTTAGACTGGCCTTGAACTCACTACGCAGCTCAGGATGGCCTCAAATTCACAGTGATTCTCCTATCATAGTCTCCAGAGTACATGGATTATAGGCGTTTACCACCAACCTGTTTATATTTTGTTCTTGACCTTTATAGCAGGTCTAACCTTGTCAAATACAAAAGTTACATTTCTTGTTATATAGGTCTTGCTTTATCTTGGTCTTAACCATCCAGCAGAAAAGTATAAAAATGAGGTACAAAAAGTAAAGCCATATTAATATGCTGAGCTGTAAAAGGCTCAAGTCAACAATTTCTGACATTGCCAGTCAGTCCTACAGATAACCTACTACTATTATGGTCTAATGGACTATATTGGATTATTCTGCAGAATTCACGCACCTACAATATTTAAATGGCAATGGAATACCCTTCTCTGACAAAACAACAAAAAAAGGGGATATAAATGAAGGACCATTTTGTATCTGTATACACAAAATAAGATAGATATACAGCTACTTTCTCTTATTTCAATGAGAAGAAAGATTTGTACTAATAGTGTTTGGACAAATATCATGTCTGCATCTTGTACTGTAAATAACCACTATGAAGACAACAATATGCAATGTATTAATTATTGAAACTGTCCTACTAATAGACTGTGAAACTGTCTCATTGCTATTTGTTTCTCAGTAAAATTAATAAAAAAATCTGAAAGTAAAAATAAAAAATAAAAATAAAGTCAGTTAATTCTGTTGGCTTCTTGTATTAAGTTCTTATCTATTCTTTGTGATTTTCTTTCCCCTTCAGTTCTATCAGTTTTGTTGTATGTATTTTGCAAACTGTTGCATAGTACCAATTGCTGTGTCCTGTAACATTGAGTCTTGCATCATTGTATAATTTGTCTTTCTAGCTTTATAAGTTTCTTTGCTTAGAAATCTACTTTATCTCTTGTTAATGTGTTCATTCTTGTTTTCTTTTGATTAGTGTTTGCATATCTTTTTCTACCTTTTTAATTACATCCTAATATATTTGAGGTGACATTCTTATAGCTAGTGTATAGTTGATTCAGGTTTTAACTCCATCAGTCTTTTAATTGGTGTAGGTAGCACCAATTAAAGCACCAATCTTTTTTGTTAAATGTAATTGTGATTTTTTTTGTATTCTGTTTATTGTGTTTTTCATTTGTACTTTCTTTCTTTTCTAACCTTGTTGTGGGTGTTGAACATTAAGCCCATTTCCATTTATCTGTGGTAGTTTTGGTCATACATTTTGCATAGCAGTTTTGTGATTGCCTTACACATTATGTAGTGTATCAGTATTATCATTTTAATGCCTTGAAGAAAGTACAGAAACCTTACCTCCATTGTCTTTTGATACAGTTATCTTAAATAATACAATTACTGTATTTATAATACAATAGTCTTAAATATTTAGACACAGAATTTCATCAAATTGTGGTACAAATTTTGGTTCAAGTGTCAAACATTTAGAGAAACTTGAGAAAAAAAGTTTATTGTATTACCCACATTTTTGCTTATCATGTTGTTTTTCTGGCTCTTCCTTGTTTCCTTCTTCTGTTCTTTTCCTTTTTGCTTCTTTTTATGTGTCTCTCCTAAGATTTTTAAAGGTTTTTTTCTCTTTTTTATTTTTAAAAATCATTACCTTCTATTTAGAGGACTACCTACAGCCTTTTTGTAAGAGTAGGTTCCTTGAAGCTGTGGCCCTTTTCTTTCTTTCTTTCTTTCTTTCTTTCTTTCTTTCTTTCTTTCTTTCTTTTTCTTTTTTGGTCTTTGTTTTTTCTACTGTTGAGATTGAGTAATTTTGATTGTTTTGTCTTTTGGGTCAGCTATTTCTTTCCTATCTCCTTCCTTTTGGCATTGACACCATTTACTGAACTCTTTATTTTGATCAATGTATTTTTCAGTTCTAAAACTTTGCTGAAACTTTTTTTTAGTGAAAGCTAATTTTTCATTTGTCTCAGCATGTTTATAATTGCATAAGGAAAGATTTTTTTATCATGGCTGCTTTAAAATCTGTGTTGGGTAATGATAATATTATCTTCTCAATGATATCCTGTACTGTACTTTTCTATTTGCTTTGAGACCTTCTTGGTTTTTGATATAAGGACTGGTTTTTGATGGAGACATGGGCATCTTAGGTATATGAGATCAAGATTTTTGTTGCTACTCAGGATTGGGAACTCCTTAATCTTCCTATGACTAGATAAAATATCTAGCTCCCTAACTAACCTTTACTAATACCTTCTGGCTGGGAAGGATAGCAGTAACTCCTTACTGGTTCCCAGTTGGCCTCTGTTTATGTGATTAAACAAAAGTTATACTACTTCTCTGGATTTCCTTGATACCATGACAAAGGAAGGTTTACCTCATTACTGATTTATGGAAGCATAAGTCTTAGCTCTCCATGTAATGTCCATTGATACTGAACTGTAGGGAAAGTGGAGTGAAGGGAGCATTACTGCTGCCATTCATCTGGAGTGGAAACCTTGGCCTCCTCTTTATGGTTCTATAGCATCTCCATGACTGAGAGGGTTGGGATTGAGCATGATGCCCCATTGTAGGTTGGTGGTGTGGAAGTCTGGGCTTTACACCCTGCCTTTGCTGAAGTAGCTGGAGGTAGGATTACAGTGTTTTCTGAATGGATATTGTTTAAAGCTGTTCTGTTTTGTAAGGCTGCACTTTTCCTGGTGTGTTGGCTAGAGAAGACTGACTTTTATTGGTTCTATTTTGCAATGCCCTTACTGGTATTTCCTGGTTGTCTATTAGCAATATCTGTTATGGATGAGGCAAAAAAGAAATCTAGGGGACTTACTACAGTGTTCTTCGTAGTAGAATCCTGAAGTTCACAGTCAATCTCCTCCTCATCTTGAACTCATGGTCTTGTGCATGTTAGGAAAGCTCCTCGCCAGTCCATGGTTCCATGGTTATGAGATTTACAGTATATTGGAAAGGCTTTTTTTTTTTTTCTTCGATAGTGGGATGGGACCTAGAGCCTTGTGCATTCTAGGCAAGTGCTGTAACACTGAGCTGCACCTTTGCTTTGGGGGGGCCCCTTGGCACTGACTGGAGGCTCTGCTCCAGAGAAGTGTGGGAACCACACCAAGTTCCCCGCTGGGACCCCTGGAGGAGATCATAGTTCAGAGAGTGCTGGGTTAATGACAGCTCATTTACAGGACTTTTGAATGAGGCAAAACTTGCAATAAGTGAACTGGAGATTAGATCTAGACTTTTTAAAGGTATGTTGTATTATTTTTAATGAAATGTGTCATCCCATTTTCTAGCATTATTATATGTGGCATTTGAAAGCCCAAAGGAGAAGCATACAGAGGAAAATATGGCTCATTTTATTGCAAAAAGAATATAGCAAAAAGTAAAGAGGCATAGTGATCAGGTATTTTGTGAGCCTAAAATAATGCCTATTTTATTGGATTCCAAAAAAAGAATATTTGAGTGGATACATTAAACCACACTCTGTAATAAGTGTATGACATGCAAAATCATTTTTAAAGCTCAGAATTGACATCAGAAAAGCTCTGTTACACTGATCTGAACTAATGATGCCCCACCTGGTCATTACTGTACACATCATCGTAATATACATTCCTCTAAATTCTTTTTTTTTCTTGAGTTAGTGAATAGAAATGAAACTGAAATTAAAACTGCTCCCATCAATAGTGTGACCGATAGCTTAGATCAAGGTGAACCTAGAATTATTTTTCCCAGCTGATCACTAACTATTTAAAAGAAAAATTAAAATAGTGGAATGTCAGAATGGTATCTCTTATGAAAGTTATTACAAGTATTAATAAAATCTTTCTAGTGAATATTCATCAGATAATGATTCTTATTTTGTGGCTAGACATTTTAGAGTAATAAATTATTTTCCTTTTTTTTTTTTTTTTTTTTTTTTTCTTTTAGCTCTGTTGGCTTAGCAAAAGCAGCTCTAGAGGCAATTAACGGATTCAACCTTTTTGGCAACCAGGTAAATGAAAGAAGCCTTTGATTATTTCAATTGCATGTTTAATTAATTTTAGTATTCATTAGCAAAGTCATTTCCTTATAATTGTTAACTACCTGAAATATAAGTAACAGCTTGTGCTTGGACAACTTTCCTTTGCAAATTATCTGCCAGTTAAGTTTTACTTTTTTTACTAAAATAATTTATTGTTTTAAACAACTCTATAAATAATTGTAATGCTTTGGTTCAATACTTCCCTCAAATTTCTTATTTATGTGTTAGCATCTTCATTCTTTTTTAATATTCCTGACATTATGTATCATATGTTCCATGTCAGTTTTCACAGTGATTTTCCTTTAGCATATGCAGTGCTCAGGGGAGTTGTTATAATGTATACAATCAGATAATAGGAAATTTTGATCCTAATGTTACCCTTTACTGTTATGTATCTGCAGTCTCATTTCCTTGAAGATAAAAGGAAAAGACTAAAGGTCACTTTACATTTTCATAAAATTGTTAACCAAGTTTTGTATTAAAAGAAACTAATCAACTGACTGTAGATTGAGTTATCAATGGAAGGAAATAAAATGCAAGATTAAAGGCTATTCTGGACCAAGAAGTAGGCTAATTTTTTTTTAGAGCAGTTTTTGTGAAGATTCCCAAAATGGCAAGGCAATGCGAAATTTCTAACTCATAAATAATGCTAAGGTATTAAAATCATAAGTCATTGAAGATACATTTTAGGAAGTTACTCAGGTATGGCATTTATGATACTGTCTATCTGGAATCTTGAATTTAAGAGAGTTTCAAGTTGTAGTGTGATATCACAACTTCTTCTGTCCCTCTCCTTCTATAACTTCATGTGGTATATGGGTTCTGGTTACATCTAGGATATGAGGAATAGCTACAGATAGGATTGGGAGGAGAATACCTTTTCTGGGTACACCGGAATTAACCCTGGTTCATTCACTTTCCATACTACAAGAGGACAAAAAGGAGAGGGAGAGCAGAGAGGGGAGAGGAGAGAGGAAAGAGGAGAGAGAAGAGAGGAAAGAGAAGAGAGGAGAGAGGAGAGAGCAGAAAGGAGAGAGAAGAGAGAGACAGAGAGAGACAGACAGAGAGACAGAGAGAGAGAGAGAAATACAGACAGACAGATGGGGAATTATTAAATAATGGTATTATACTATTAGTTAGGACAGGATCACTGTATGCTCCATACCTAAGTCTCAGCTCATCATCTAAAAAAATAAATAATAGTAATAGGATCTAACCCAAAAGTTTTTGAGGCAAAAAAAAGTCTTCCAAAAAATTATACACATTTCAGCAGTTTACTGTGCTAATAAATGTTTGGATGCTAGTGGCCAGCACTTTGAGTACCTCTTACAATTATAGGGGCCAAAGGTAACTTTTATAAATCTCATTATGTCTCAAATTTTGTATTAAAATGTGTATCATATAAGTTTTTCTTTCCCTGATCTACACATTTTTGGTGAACCATATAATACAGCAGAAGCTTGGTAAAAATTAAATCCTCAATAAAGTGGGTAAACAAAATTGGACTGAAAGTCCCCCAGAGAGCATCTAAAAGACACTAAAGTGCCATGAATTTTGTAAATCAAAGTGATATAGCAGCAATCTATAGAAAAATACAAATCTTGTGAGCATACGAAATCTATGGCATACCAAATAGTGAACTGAATGAAACTGAGTATCTCTAGGTTGAATGTGACATAATAGTGTCCTCTTTTTATTTTGCACTAGTACTATGTCTTTTGATGTAACTGAGACATACATGTTACTTGTATGTCTTTAAGTCCCCCCTACCTCCACATACACCCACACACATACATTCAGTTATCTTTTCTAACTCTAGCTAGCCTCAAGGCATTGATTTTTCCCAAAAGGCTTTCGTAGTTCACTTAGCTGTAATTCTAAAACAACCGAATTTGTTTATCAGGACTTTTGTTTCTCAGACAGTTTTTCAATCTTGTGTGCACATTAAAATCATTTGAGGAATTTGAAAAACAATGCTGATGTCTGAGCTTATCCTCCAGGGATTCTGATTTAACTGGTGTGGGAGGAAAACAGCATTGAGGTATTGTAAAATTGTTCTGGAAAAGTGCATCCAAAGATGAGTGTAGCTACTCTAAGAAGAATTAAGTTTTGCTTTGCTTAGGTTATGTCTGTTTCCAACATAACTATGCATCAAATGTTTGCCACATGGACTTCCATTTGATTATTTCAGGTAGGAGTAAGTGAAGAATGTTTTCTTCCATTTAGCCACATAAGTATTATATTTGCAAGTAGAGCTTCTTCTTCTCCCATTACTATATAAACGTCTTAGTTTCACAACTTTTCTTGTGGCCTTTCATCTGAGGAGGGATAGTGCAGAAATCTGATTTATTTTTCTGGTTGGTGGTGCTGGGCATTACATCTAGGGCCTATGTGTGGTAGATAAGTGCTGTGCAATTGAGCTATACCTCCAGTTCCAGAAATCTGACTTTGAAAATGTTAATATCCCTATTTCTATACTAGTTCAAATGATAAGGTGCCTGCTAAGCAGCAGCACATTTAAAAGTGCATGTGATCTTCTGAGTGTTTAATCATTTTATAATGTTACTCCATGTCTTTAAATAGATGTTCTCTTCCTAAAAATCAGTGATGCAGAAAAGAACTTTGATAAAGGAATTCTGTTTATTCAAGTGAAAACTTAAAGACTGTAATATTTGGGTGCAAATTTTAGGTCATATGAGAGTTTATTTCTTTCCAAATACAATTGGTATAGTGTTTTACAAGATCTGATTATGTGTGTCTAAGTAAATTAAGTTAGACCTTTCAAAATATGCATCTACTATTGATGTCAACTCAAAAGAATTATGGATCTTTGGAAGTGGAAAAGCCCGCTCAGAATGAATGGTCAGAGTTCAAAGTAGTGTTTCTTGGATAACACAGCAGAAGGGCAGAACTAAGAATTAAACCAAAGCCACTAGATGACAACTGTTTCTAGGGGATCTCTCAGATCATGGATGTGTTCTTCCTTTATCATTTGAAAACTGTTCATTTTCTTTGAAAATCCTGATGCCATTTTCTGAATAATAAATATTGAACTTCTGAAGAAGGTATCTACTTCACAAATAGTATGAAAGACTTGCCTTTTGCCTTTTTGTACTTCAGTATATTAGATAAATATTAATTTTATTTTTATAGACAGTTGGTGGGTGGCATTTCTTTGGTTATAAATATGTATTTCTCTATTTTCTCCTTTTTCTCAATAGTCACTTTGCTTACTATTCAAGAAAAACATCACTTAAATCTCTGCTCGGAAACTATTTTAGAATTTTTTTTTCCTTTGGGATACCTAAGAATATAGTGTGATAAAATGATGTATGTGTTTTAATGGTCAATTGACAATAAAGAATTAATTTGGGGCAGTGCCACATTTAGAAGCATACTCCTGAGTCTTTCATAAAAGAATCATGCATTTCATGAGGGTCTCAAACACATTCTACATGAATATGTTTATAAATATATTTAAATGTTTTTAAGTACCATTTGGTAATACTTATATCAAGATTTACAGTATTAAATGTCATGGATGTAATAAGCAGTAATTTTGTGATTCCTGAATTTGAGTTTAGCTCCTTTTCTCCTAAGGTACAGCTTATTATCTCATATAAAGGAAAGAACCCTTGATTGTTTAAGGGGCTGCTAGAAACAACTTGTGGGTCAGGAAGAAAAAGTTGACTGTTTACACACCCATTGCTGCTACAACCATGACGTAAAGAGAGTTTCCATCAGTGAATATCCTTTCTGGAAGAGCACTCTTCTCCAGCCTGTACCACAGAACTAAGGAGCAACATGATACTGCATAGGGCAAGAAATCTCCAGATAATGGTTTTGTGGTCTGGTTTGAATTCCAGAATGAGATCCACTGACTTTTTTTTTTTTTTTCAGTTGTAGGAGGCTAGGGCAGAAAAGCCATTTATTAGTTCAGACTCAGATGACTGATTAAAACAGAAAACAGAGGCTCAGGCAATCCTTCAAATAATTTTTACTTTTAATTTAGGCCGTTAATTTTAGCAGTGTCATACAGTCACAGATGGTACCACTGGCCTCATGGTATCTCCAAAGTGTCTGTTCTGGTCATAAATATCAAGGAGAGAGGTAAAAGTGTGAGTATGGTACTTTTCTGCCATTGAAACTCTTGTCTCCATGACAGTGGTCAAGTAGAATCATCTAATCTGTTTACTAGAACAAAAATAGTTATCAGAACTCCTCTTGGAGAGTAAAGTTTGAGCTGTCAGTTATAAAATATTCTGTTTTGAGTCAGGAGATTAGTGTAGGAGATGGAAGATGAAAATCAACTATCCAAAGTTAATCAGATACTCTGAAGTGACATATACCTATAAAGTAGCCTTTCATATTCTTGTTTTTGATTGGTGAACTCAAGATGAATGAGCTGAGTTTAAAAGGTGATGACTAGAGTGACTGATATGCAGTGACTCAAAGTGATACACACATCTAGCTTCCTTTGAAATTTACAATCCTAAAATTCTTCTTGGTAACATTTTTTTAAAAACTTGCTTTTGAGTATGGAATACTGACCCATGACCTTGGGTAATTTTACTCTCCTGGAAATCTGGGTCACAATGCCTAAAGCATGATACTATATATTTTTGTGAGAAGATAGCCCAACAATATAGAAAACTAACCTTTGTTCTTACTGTTACAATACAGTTTTATTATGAGATTAATTTTCCCAGTTGGCCATATTTCTTAGAACCTAACAGATAAAAATTGGGAACTTAACACTTTGATGAATTTAGATTATTTTTGGCCAGACAATAGAAGTTGGCTCTTTACTTTATCAAATGAAGAGAATTACCAAATTTGTCATTTTACTTCATTATTTATAAATTATCCTATTTAGATTGCATCTTCTAAAGACTCAATTTCAGGTGATTTGGCATGCAATTAATTTTATTAATTATTAGCCTCAAGATAAACTATGGCTCCTATTATTTTGTGTAACAGGCTCCTCATGTACTATACCATTTAGTTTCTGGGTGTTTTCTTGTAACTGTTCTATTTGCTTTTGTTTCTCCAAATATTCAGATCTGAGCTTTGATGCTCATTTTCTCTGTTTTTGTAGGGACTTATTATTTCTTCCATGTAAGCTACTTACATGTTATTTAGTTGTGCACTGCCATGTGCATGCTGTAGGTATTTTTTTCATAATTTTTTCAATATCCTTGGACTGGATATTGCCTAAGTCAATTTCTTGAGATCAAAGTTCAGAGCTTTCTTGTTTCTCACAAAGCAGAGTGCACAATACTTTAGTACTTACTGGGTAACCATTCGTTGAAAAAATAAAGATGAGAGATTGAGATTCTCAAATACTAGGAGGAACAGTAAAACATCAACCTGGTTAAGAGACAGCCTCACTCATTCCCTGTTTATCTGTTAGTTTACTTGCTGGAGTTAAAGTGTTTTTCAAAAATGATGCTCTGAACAAGAAGTCACTCTGTAAGCTAATACTCATGTATGAAAGTAAGTTAACAGAAGAAATATATAGCTAGTGAGTTTGATATTTGGAGTCTCTGGTGCTATTAGATTTGAAGTTTCAGTGTAGGTGACTGAGATCAGGTATGTTAGTTTCAGGGTAAGTAATCTTTGAAGTTGGTGAGAACTGGGATGAGGTCTAGAAAGTGGTATTCAAGCAACATGAAATGTATGATAGTTCTGTTTCTCCATATCTATTTTTTGAGTATTCTCTTGTGGTGGAAGGAATATTTGTTTTCTCATTTTATTGTCCTCTCAAATATTTAGCATTTCAGTAAAAGAAAATTATGTTTACTTACAATTGTGCTGTTGATATGGAAGGGACTAATGGATAAATGGTTTAAAAAAAGTTTAATGTCAACAGATCAATTGATATTTTCTGTCACATGTATAATGTTTTGTTTTATTTTGTTTGTCTTAAGGATTGAATGCAGTGCCTTTGCACTGAGCTACACTTTCAGCCCTGTTTTGTTTTTCATTTTGAGATAAGGTTTCACTAAATTGTCCAGGCTGGGCTCCAACTTTCCATCTTCTTGCCTCAGCTTTCCAGCATGCTGGGATTATAGGCATAAATTACCATACTTGCCTCACATAGTTATCTCTCTATTTCAGGCTTTTTGTTCTTATTTGAAATTTTTTTCATGATAATTATATAACCCAGTGGTTAAACCTTAAGCTTCTGTGTTCAACTTGATTTTATACTCTTGCTTTGTTGAATTAAGGCATAGCATTCTTTTACATGGAAATAATAATACCTGTATGTGGGGATTTAGTTATATAAGCCATATGAACTATAAAGTTCAGTGCCTCACACTTAATAAATAATACTGAGGGTTGTTTACATTATTGTTAAAATTCTCTTCATAATTCCATCTGTAATTCTAGATTCTACTTAAATTTGTTTAGTTTGATCATGTAATCAACAATCTTTGTGAGAATGTACAACTCAAATTTATGCCTATATTTGTATTTTTATTAAAATAAATATTATGAAATTAATACATTTGATTTATAAGAAACCAAGATAAAATGTAAAAATAACTTTGTTATACTTGTATAGTTAATATTGTTTATTGCAAGAAATTTGAGAAATACTAGAAGTATTAAAAAGGAAAGTTAAGATTGCAGTAATCCCATAGTCAAATGTCAGTGTCAGTATTTTTGTGAAATTTCACACAGTAAGAATGCCATGTGGATTAAAGTCCTTCAAATGTGTTTCTCTTTCTCATTACAGGGCTGTTCATGGTCAGTTATATTTGTGGATCTTGATGCTCACAATCGCAACCGGCAGACTTTATGCTCACTGTTACCCCGAGAATCAAGATCTCATGTGAGATGTTTTTACAATAAATTACAGTGAACTATCATTACAGTTTTTTATAGTTTTATGTTAATTTCCCACAAAAGCACCCTAAAACATTAGGAGTCATCCAGAAAGATGAGACAGGTAGATTTGTCCCTCACTCTTGTGGCCTGCAGAAGTGTTGGAAGGTGAACACTTGTGAATATAGCTGTTTTGTCCTTGGAGTCTTTTGTAAGATGATGAAAAATTGACATTACTTTCTGGTTTCTTTGGGAAAGAAGCAACATTATGCCAAATGAATCATTTTTGTCATGGAATGTTAGAAAACTACATTACATCATTCATACAGTATTACTTTTCAATAAAATTTCCTTCCCATTTCTTTTCTCTCATTAGACTTCCATTTTTCTTTTCACTGATGATTGTGTGTGCTTATTGTGCCTTACTGCACACTTTTGTAGGGAAATTTTATGATTCTAGTCTGTTAATAATACCTAAACAGTTATTTTAAACAGATATTTTATGATTCTAGTCTGTTAATATACTAAACAGTTATTTTTAAACAGAGTAACATAACTGTTTAAAAATAACTTATGAAAGCAGTATAAGATTATGATAAAGCAAAACAAGATCATAAATAAGCATTATTAGCTTATTTAATAATATGCCATCTCTTTATTCTACCCTTCAGATATAATCTTAGGATGACAACATTTGAAGATACATTTTTCTACATATTTTTATGCATATATACATAAGATTTTTATTTTATAAACCAAGAACAATATTGTTCATAATGATTGTTGCCCTAGGTCTATGAATAAACATTTTGTTAATATCAATAGATCTGTTCATGCCAATAAAGACATTTCTTTTTTATTTAATTTTTTATATTTTTTGCTTTACTTATTGGATGCAGAGTCTCACTATGCAGTTCAGACTGGTAGTGATCCTCATGTCTCAGCCTCTCCAGCATTGGGATTACAGATATATACCACCAGGCCTGGTTTTGGGGCTGGCACAGAGCACCTGGGGTTCCAGGACTGGCATGACAATGTGGTACCAGGGATCAGACTCAGGTCCTTGTGCTTGCCAGGCAGGTGCTTAGACTACTGAGCTATCTCCCCAACCAAATAAAGAAATTTCTGTCATGCACATTTTAACTGTTTCTATAATAATAATTTTAAGGCTGTAAATTTACTCAACTAATGTGCATTCTTCAAAATTTTTTTTACTTTTATAAGCAAATTGCTATGATCAACTAAGTGGTGATGAATATTAGTGGTTTTGCTAGTGGTCATGGGGGCCTGATCCATGCCCTTTAAATTGAGCTCTATCGTCAGCCTTTGCCACACACACTTTTTAAAATTTTGAGCAGGTTCTCAGTAATAATTTGCCATGACTTGACTTGATCTTGCAATCCACCTGCATCAATCTTTGCTTCTTGGAGTGCTAAGATTACAGATGTGTGCCACCCTACTTGGGTGTGTTACGTTTTTATGTGCTCCTTTAATTCATATTTTAAAGCTTGAGCTCAGAGTTGAACTTTGAAAATTCTCTTTATTAATAAATAAAATTTTATCTCCTCTATTGGGGTCACTGAAGCATAATATAGAAACATTTGCCCCGTGAAAATGAAGATTCCTGATCAGTTGGATGGCCTCTTTTGATTCTTCATTTCTAAGAGTCTCCTTGGGCTGTGTAGATCATGTTGCTACAGACACTTACAATCTCTGTTTCTCACCAATCCCAGAACACAGATGCTGCCTTGCTCCCTTGCATCAGTTATCCTGCTTTTGCCCTGGATGATGAAGTGCTATTCAGCCAGACACTTGACAAAGTGGTGAGAAAATTAAAAGGAAAATACGGCTTTAAGCGTTTCTTAAGGGATGGATATAGAACATCATTGGAAGATCCCAACAGACGCTACTACAAGCCAGCTGAAATTAAGGTATCAAAAATGTTTCAGTTACACGTACATGATAGTTGTCAAAAGCAGATATTCAGGAGGATGACTTCTTAAGTTTTGGTTCCAGGTTGCTACTGAATGGCAGTGTAACTTGGGGCAAGCTAATTAACTGTGTTCAATATTTATTGGTAACTGTTGATTGTGCCTATCCCATTAGTTCTTGTGAGGAATAAATGACTTACAATGTATAAAAAGTGCGTAGAAGTGGACACCATAAGTACCCAATAAGTGTTAGCTTTTATTGCATGAGGCCCTTTTGTTCATTGTGAGCCTTGTTGATTCATTATGTAGTTGAACTTTTCTGTCACATTTTGTTAAGCAAATGCTTTCTATTAAAACTTCCTTTTCTTTTCATTTTTCTTTCTTACTTGCCTCTCTTCCCTCCTTCCCTTCCTTCTTTCCTTTCTTCCTTCTTTGCTTTTTCCCTTCCTTTCTTTCATTTAGGTACTTATTTTGGAAATACAGTTCTCTAAATGTTCTGCTTTAAAATACTATATATTACAGATATATACACCATTATATCCAAGTTTATACTAGATATTTTTTTTTAAATTGGATATAGAGTCTCACTATATAGTTCAGACTCATAGTGATCTTCCTGTCTCAGCCTCCCCAGTGCTGGGATTATAGGTATGTGCTACCATGTCAGGTTTTGGGGCCAGCATGGCACACCTGGGGTTCCCGAGCCGACACAACATGCGGTACCGGGGGTCAAACTCTGGAACTTGGGTTCTTGCGCTTGCCTTAGACTGCTGAGCTACTCCCCTAACTCCTATACTAGCTGCTTTTAAGTCATCAAAAATATTGTAACTTTCCCCAAAAAAGTTAGCCTCCTTGCATACTGCTAAAGACTTCTCTTAACAGGAAGGCTAAAAATTATTTTTCTAAGCATGCTCTTAATTCACCTTACTTGCTGAAGATAGGTACAGTCTCTATGAATCTTTGTATAGCACATACCTAAGCAACATGAGACCTTGTAGTTGTCAGTTAACATGCTACTCTTCTGCAATTCAGTATACACTTAGCTTTGCAGGACAACCAGACAGGCATTTATCATTTTATTTAATTTCACAGTTTACTATCATTTGGGAGCATTGGAGCCATTTTATTGTGTACAGTTTTGAAATTTTACAGCAGCATTACAATCTGCAGGTTGGGATAAAAGATGAACTGTTCTCTTAAGCACCTTCAAAAATTTCTTTTCTTTTTAACTCCTTTCTTTCTTTCTTTCTTTCTTTCTTTCTTTCTTTCTTTCTTTCTTTCTATGTATGTAGTACAGGGCCTACAGAATCTCACTACACAGAATCAGACTCGTAGTGACCCTCCTGTCTTCAGCCTCCCATGCACTGGGATTATAGGTGTGTGCCACCATGCCCAGTCTCAGTTGCCATCTCAACTCCTGGGGCAGGCACAGCATGCTGTGCATAGAACTCCAGTCCTGTGCTTGCATAAGCAGGTGCATTAGTCCACTGAGTTATTTGGCTTACCCTGTTTAACTCATTTCTTAAAGTAATTTAGCTCTTGTATATTTTGATTGGGCCACCTGCAACTATCTCTGTTCATACCTTCAATGTTGAATCAGTCCCGTGAGCTTCCACTATGTCTGCACTGCTGCTGAATATCGCCAAGGGAACCACAAACACTGAATACATATGGTCTCAAATTCAGGACCTGGTCTTGGTTCCATCCTCATCACTGCTTTCACTTCTTGTCTTTCCTGCTCTGTGATCCTTTGAAAGGTTTTTTGTTTTCCCTATTCATGTTCCTAGCCTTTTGCTTCTTATTTCTGCTGGATAGTCTTTCATTTCCTGTGGCCTGCTCTGCAGCATCTCCCCTTCAGCTGCCTCCTGTCCCACAGTAGGTGTTCTCTGCTTTCTGACACTCACCCTACATATGTATACCCTATTCTCTTTTTATTTTCTTAGGCATCTCATAAGAGTTTTCTTCTCTGATAAAGGAGTGTGTTTATCTCCTTTGTTCTCATCTTACTCTCTTCTACCTTCTCTGTTTGCTTTCCCTCAACTTAAATTAATTTCTTCCCATTTTAAAAAATACAGAAACTCTCCCTCAACCCTCTCCCTAAGCCTCTCTGCTTCCCCTCCTATTGCTGTTTATAAGTCTGTTTCTGGAAGGCCTTATGTATATTTGGTGTAGACCTTGATCTTCTCCAACTCATTCAGGGCCTTATCTTTTCACTGTCCCCATAGGCACTGCAGGGGCTGTGCTGACTTCTGTCAGTTTCAGCCACTGGACTATGGTGAGTGCTTTTCTGACCTTATTTTACTGAATGTCTCATCATTTGTGTGTCTTAACTGAGTCCTCCTTGAAAAATTTTCCCCCATTTGCATGATTTTTCTTTCTTCATTCTCTGCTTATGTCTGTCACTATCCTCAGTGTCTTGTACAAGTTCCTCTTTCTCCACCTCCTCTAAACATTGCTCTTTTCCTGGGGTCCATCTTCAACCTTACTTGCTCTTCATTCTTACCATGATCAAGCTGTCACTGTTGTTATTACTTATTTTTGTCCCTAACTTATGCCTCTCCCCAATGCCTGCTCATATATGCTGCTGTGTTTTGGACACTTCATTTTAGATGTCCTTATAGTTAGCCTGTATGCCTGTATTCAGCTCACAGCTTTCTATCCAGGCCCCAAACCTGCTTGTCCCTTTATGGTGTTCATTCTGCTCATCTACCTGTCTAAGTCTTAAAAGCTGGCAGATTTAGCCTCCTTAAAAATCTTAAAATTAAAAAAAAATCATAAAATTATGTCCCTTTCTTTCCTTTAAGTTAGTGGTTGTACCTGGGGCAGTTTTGTCTTCCAGGGGATATTTGGCAAGACCTGTAAAACTTTTTGGCTGTCACTTTAGAGGGTCTTACTGGTATCTGGAAAGAAGAGATTAGGAATGCTACTAACCATCTATACAGCACAGGATAGCTCCACAACAGAGAGCTATTTGGCCCAAAACATCAGTAGTAATGAAGCTAAGATACTGTGTTTAGGCTGCTGTGTTTTATTGTTGGGTTGCTCTGGCAGTCTCCTAGCTAGAGTCCTTATTGATTGTCATACAATTATCTTCAGTATTCTCAGATTCCCATTCCTTGCCCACCAGCAAGGAAATCTGGTGCTGTTCTGTATTCATTAGTGGCCTCTATTACTTCAGATCAAAGTCTCATTTTCTGAACATGACCTCTATCCTGTCCTGATTGTAGATTAGTTTTGTTTGTTTGTTTTGAGACAGGATCTCACTATGTAGTCCAAGCTGGTTTGAACTAGGCTGGTCTCAAACTCATGGTGATCCTCTTACCTCAGCCTCCCAAGTGTTAGGATTACAGTCTTTTGTTAGCACACCTGGCTGGGCTTTAGTTTTTACTAGTACCTCATCCTTGCTTATTCTAGAAAAATTAGTTTGTGCTCTTTTGGTTCTGTGTGGGTATTCCTAAGTTTATCTCTTCAGTGAAGCTAATTGAACATTAGCTGAGACATACCTTGTCCCATGAACACTTCCCTCCTTCTCAAGGCAGTCTTCAGAGTTTCACTGCCTGTTTCAGGTACACCATGTGTACATGAGGTATGCTGGACCAGAGTTACTTACTTACATCCCAGCCTGTGCTTGAGTCTGCGAGCCTCAGGGAAGTTGTCTGTCTTTGTTTTCATAGCTCTGTCTAGTTGGTGCTAGGCATTAGTAAACACTTAATGATTATTTATTCAGTGATTACTATTTTATGTAGTAAATAAATGAGCTTTTGAGTAAAAATAGCACTTACATTTTTTAAATTTTATGTTAATTTTTTTTTAATTTTTAGTTTCTCTCTCCTTTTTTTTTTTTTTTTTGCGGAACTGGGGATTGAACTCAGGCCCTTGCGCTTGCCAAGGAAGTGCTTATTCCATTGAGCCATCTCCCTGGCCCCTTTTATTCTCTTTGTTACAGGGTCTTGCTATGCAGTTCAGACTTGTAGTGTTTGTCCAGGCTCAGCCTCCCCAGTGCTGGGATGACAGGTGTGCACCACCATGCCCAGTTTTGGGCCCACACAGCATGCCCAGGAACTGGGGCTGTATGACATGCAGTACTGGGGATCAAACTCAGGACCTTGCACTTGCCAGGCAGGCACTTAGACCGTGGAGTAGTGTCCCCAGCCCCTTGTAATTTTTTTAAAAAGCTCAAATATATGTATAAAATCAGTTTTACTTAAAGTTATTTCTATAACTTTATATATAACCTAAATAATTACTCTAATTTTTTAAGTAAAATTTAATATTTTATTTTGTTTTAGCTATTTGATGGCATTGAATGTGAATTTCCCGTATTTTTCCTTTACATGATGATTGATGGTAAGTAAACTCTTTCCTGAAATTTAACCTGTAGGATATAAGTGGTTTTAAAAGAGCAGAAGTGAAATATTACTCCTTTCAGCTAACAAAAGACTGCACTTCAGTGCTGTTAACTGCTTAGCATTTTTTTGCTACTCGTCTGCTTTCTGAGTGACGGTTAAATCATGTAAAGATTTTAAGCACTACCTTGAAGTACTTAAATATTTTTCTTCTTTGCAAAAGCTTTTATTATAGATATCATGCATGCTATAATTATGGCATTGTAAATAATCTATATCATGACTTTATAGAATCAAGTTCTTGACAAAATATCTCACACATTTGCATTACTTTTTTCAATTTTATTGTAACATTTAACATGAAAGATTACCACAATAATTATGAAGGAGTTAATAAGTTCTTCTAAAGCAGAATTGTGATTCCTATTGAACACAGATACTATTTGACTTTATATTTTAGGAGTTTTCAGAGGCAATCCCAAACAAGTCAAGGAGTATCAGGACCTTTTGACTCCAGTGCTTCATCAGACTTCAGAAGGTATAACTTATTCAAGAATGTTCCTGTGAGATGTATAAATGAGTCCTTTACAGTATACAATCATTTATATTAAATTTTAACATGAAGGAGGCCTCAAATGAAATTAGAAAGTGTAGTATCTATTAAGTTGTGTGTGTGTGTGTGTGTGTGTGTGTGTGTGTGTGTGTTTAGTACAGGGCCTATAGGGTCTATAGGTCTACATAGATCAGACTCATAGTGATCTGCTTGTGTTCAGCCTCCCCAGTGCTGGAATTACAGGCATGCACCACCATGCCCAGTCTCAATCAGCATCTCATTGCACCCTGGGGATGGGTCTGGCACCTCAAGCCAGGGATCAAACCCTGGCCGCTGCTCATTGCCTAAACAGGCACTTTAGTCCACTGAGCTTCTGGCCGGCCCTTCTATTAGTTTATTTTAATAAAATTTTTCAAAAGTTTAATTCAGTGAGACAAAGATAGAAATGAACATAGGCAGTCATGGCTTTAGCAGTGCTGTGATGGTTTGCATGTGAGTGGTTTTGTTTTTTTTTTTTTTTTCATTGCTTATTTATTGTGTAACTTTTTCACTCTGTGTAATACAACATTAATATAAGGTGGCTGGTTTTTGTCCTGATCATCAAAAAGGCTATGGCAAGGTCTTCCCACACAGCAGACTGCCTAGGGAGGCTCTTCTCTGGTTTGAAGGAACTAGCATTGTTAAGAACATTGAGTCTCCTCTTCGAAGTTGCTTCTAGGGCCTTTATCTACATATTTTGAATACACACTATTATGCTAAAATGTCATCCTCTGAGGACGAGTGTGATATTTTATAAATGGTCAAATTCCCAGTCTTCTGAGTCTACTCATTTCAGTACAACCCTCGCAGGGCATAAAAGAACCTAACTGACTATTCTATAGAATTGGAAAATTAATTCTCAAAGAAGTTCCTTGCAAACATAGTTGTCTAAATATCCTAGGGATGGAAGTATAAAGTAGAATAAGAATATTCTCATGAAAGAAAAAGCTTTTAAAATTCTTTTATGTGGAAGTTAAAAATGATTGTATGCTGGTTAAAAAAAGGCATGAAGTGTCATTCACAGTACTTGGTTCCCTTCCTGTGTCACACTAAGTTGGTGATATTTGATGTTTTCCACAAATATCTTAACTAGTTCATATTTTATGCCCATTGTTTACATTCTTATTTTTATAATTTTATAATTCTTTGTTTTGATTAAATATTGGATTACAAATACATACTAATTTTAAAAGCAGTTTTCTTTAAATATTAAATTATACATATTAATTTTTAAAAACACGTGTGTCTTTGTGTTCTAAATAATCACTTGCTTATTGAGTGGGATAATGTAGTGTATGTAATATTTGGGAATCAGCTGTTTTGGTATTCAGATCCTTTTAGTATGCATAAAGATTGGAGTTTTTCATGCACTGCCTTTCCAGCTTCATCATGTTTGGAGAGTGATATCCAAAGTATTCTTTGTGTATTGTAAAGCATTTCACTGGTTTTTGACATACATATTAGTATTGATTGATGCCTGAAGAAGGCAGCAAAATCTTAAGGAAATCTTTGTAATTTTATTAGAAAAATTAAGTTGTCTATGGGTTGATATTGCAAAATGTACTCTAAAATGATCCTACTCCTTACAGTTTAGTTTCTACAAGGAATTTTAAAATGAATTAGTCATATAGAAATATGGATTTTTCCCTTTATTGATATCAAATAATAGAAATGGGCTAAATACCTATTTTTATTTTTATTTTAAAGAGAAAAAAAGAAAAACAAATGACAAGAACCAAGTCAAAAGCAAAGCAACATAAAAAAAAAAAGTGGCACAGAATTTCAAAAGAAGAATAGAAAATTAACAATGGTTGTTATGTTACATATTAAACAGGGATTTCTTTGCTCTAAGCAATAGCTCAAGGTTATAATTCTTTATTTACAATTATATAGTATCTATTTGTATTTCTCTGTGCTCTATATATTGCATAGTGTATATTTATTGACTTGTTTAAAGCTCTTAAAATTAAGCGTTGTTAAAAAAGATGTGTATACATTGTAGTCTAAATCATCACAGTGTATTGTTGACTTAGTGTTTTGAAATCAAGATTTTTCTGCTTTTCAATGGATATACCTGAAAGGAACAGGAATATTTCATCTTCTCTAGTTTGTCAGACCCACTATCTGAAGTAAAATTGTTCTATCTGTCTGCTTTCTGGTTGTTTCAGGTTCAGAGAAATTGTGGAAGGATACTACTTTGTTATATTTTAAATATATGTATTCTTCAACTTTATAGGATATCCTGTTGTACCAAAGTACTATTATGTGCCAGCTGATTTTGTAGAATGTGAAAAAAGAAACCCTGGTAGTCAAAAGCGATTTCCTAGCAACTGTGGCCGTGATGGAAAACTGTTTCTTTGGGGACAAGCCCTTTATATCATTGCAAAACTCCTAGGTAAGTGTAGAAGGTTAGGAACATTTTTCTTCCTTGTTATCAAACTGTTAGAATTAAGTAGATCTTCACTGATATTTTTCTTACTTTTTGGGTGGTAGTTTATTCTGTTCAGTAGCCTTTGGGGAGTTTCTTAGTGTATGAAAGTATACTAACATATCTGTTTTACCGAATGGTGATGGATGGTTTCTGGGAAGAAAGTCAAATAGGTGTTGATGTCATGATCACTTAGGGGGGTTTGCATTCAGCTTAGAAGGATTTCTAGCAGAAAGTTATGAGAACTTTTGAGTTATTTTTATGTGATATAGTACAGTTTGATTTCATATAACAGTCACATTTGGATACTGTTAGTAAACTGCTTCTCATAAGCAGTAATAGGCTGTTTTTGAAAATTCTTTTTCTAGAGATAAATGTTGATAGTTTTCTTAGCTGAAACCTTAATGAGACTGTTCATAATTCATTGGAATTTTTAACTCCTCCCACAATTTTAGCTGAATCAGAGTACACTTGGGCACATGGAAGTAGAAGTAAATTTGGTAAACATAAAAAATTATTCATGTCCTGTATCATTTCTTGATAAAATTTCAGATATGACAAACATTTCTATCGAAAGAGCTATCATTTTAAAGTCAGAATTCCTTTATAAGAAATAAATTATGAGAAAAGCTTTGTAAATACTTAACCTGAACTAAAAAAATATTTCTTTCTATATGAAATACCGTTATTGCCCTTGTTTTAACATTTTTATGTAAGTCCTAAATTAAGACTGTGCTGTCAGAGTAATCATCTTTAGTTTCTCTTTTTTTATATTCCAGTAGAGATGAGTATTTCAAAGACCAGCTTGTCAATTAGAGCTGTTTTTTTTCACTATGCTCCTTTTCTAACTATATTTCTGGAGTGTCTGTGTATATACTTAATGATAATCTAAGAACATATAGAAAAATCTGTTTTAAAAAGGGCAGCTTAGGGACCAGGGAAATAGTTCAGTGGGTTCAATCTCTGGTTCCGAAAAAAAAAAAAGAGAGAGAGGGAGAGAGAGATCCTGGCTTAAAAAGGGCAGCTTTTTGAGAAGCAGCTGACTTTTTTACAGGTTTTACTTTAATTTTTGCAAAGGGAAAAGAAATATACATGAAACAGTTTTCTTAGAATCAAGCTAAGTTTGGAAGGATTATCTCTGGTTAGAATGTTTTCCATCTCATTAATATAAATTTTAAGAAGATTTTGATAACAAATAAAACATTTTAGTAGAGGAATTTTAACCTATGTAAGGACAAGAATTGTAATGAGAATTGTAAGTTTCTGTACATTTAGAAATTATAAATGAGGATGGTGAATTTTTCTGTGGTATAGAGCCCGAAAACTGACACCTAGGATCTGGAATTTAAAGTTAAATCCTTTACCTCCTTGCCTTTACCAAATGTCCAGTCTGGGGTTAATACAATTAGAAGGAGAATTACTTGAGCAAAGGTTTTGAATAAAATTGACAAGGCTAATGAGTTAGGAACACAGATTTGAATGCACCCTCCATAAGCAAATAGAGGTTTTAAAAAAAAAAAACCTGTAGGTGTGTGTTGATTGATTGATGGGTCAGCATCTTTAGCAATGAGGAAAATGCAAATCAAAGCTACAATGAGATTCTGCCTCACTCCACTCAGAGTGGCTAGCATCAAGAGTACAGAAACAAATGCTGGCAAGGGGGAAAAAAGAAAAAGATTGAGAATAGTGTCAATCAGTAAAAAAAAAAAAACATTGCTCCTTCCTTACTGCAAAATAATGGGAGATGGATCTGGACTATAGGTATCATTTTTCTTATGATAAGACTAGATTACACATAAATAGTACAGGTCATACCTTCATTCTTTGTTTCATGACCATCAAAAAGCAAAGCAGAAATACTGCAGGGCTCCATCAAAAGAGTAAACAACTTCTTTTTTTTTTTTTTTTCATGCTGAGCTTCTAAGAAGACAGTAGAGAATGTGCAGAAGGTATTTGAAATATGAAACCACATGCCAATTTCCTGCTGATAAGAAAGAGATGTTGCATACTCATTAATACTCTGCCATAGCCTTGTGTCATCTGGTTAACAACTCACTAGTTAAGATGTGTAAGATTTCAGAAGATTGAATTGTTTAGTTGTTCTTTTCTATATACTTTCCTCAAGAACCATCAGATGTATGTGGACTTTTAATGACTTAGCACATTTACTAATAAAATCTTATTTATGATAGGAAATTCAGATATCTACATTCTGTGAGCATTTAATTAGTTACTTTTTTCTATTTGTGTTTTAGGAAAGGTTGTACAGGGTATTCAGGTTCTCACTACTAGATCAGATTCGTAGTGATCCACCTGTTGAGACAGCCTCCCAAGAGCTGGGGTTACAGGCACGAGCCACCATGCCCAGTCTCAATCGCTATCTCAGTGTGCCCTGGGGATGGGGCCAGTGCAGCAGGCCCGGGATAGAACCCCAGGTCCCTGCACCTGCTTGGAGATGCTTTAATCTGCTGAGCTACTTGGCCAGCCCTTAGTTACTGTTTTTTATATGAAAGTAATAGTGAATCTGTAAAAACATTGTGTAATATATGATGCTCATGCACTCAGGCCAGTTTATATTCCACTGAAATCTAATAAAAATATTTTGCCTATGCATGCCTAACTGAATGATTCTACAACAAATATGTGGCTTCTGTTTCATTGTTAGAGAAAAAAGACACATATGCTACTTTTTAAACCAAGTGCTGAACACCTGTGATTTTAGAATATGATTAATTTTTATGGTATTTCCTTTTATGCCTTAGAAAACTGACTTAGAAAATGAATATGTGCTATACAGTAAGTAAAATGTAAGCTTGTCTATTTTACACTATTTGCCATATTTTATGATAAAATATTTGTCTTAAAATTAATCATTAATTATAACTTCAACTTGTTATGCAAATTTGAATGTCTCTTGCCTCTTTAAAACTACTATATGGAAAGTATTTTTTCAAGCTCCTTGCAAAAATAACCCTAAAGATATTTATCATAACAAAGTCCCTTTAAGATCATAATCTTTGGACTGAAGGAATTTTTGAAGTTCTGAATACTGAACAGATATAACATTAGTAATAATTTTATTCTAAATCTGTTCTAACATCATTATATAGCATATATACATGTTATTATTTAATATATCTGTCACTTAGCTTTAAGAAATTTTAATTCAGGGTCTTAGCTTGGCTAAAATTAAAAATAAGCATGTAACCAACTTATTCTGCATAGGAGACATTTGCATTCTGCTACTATTTGAAGATCCCAAATCATTATAGATTAAAACTTGATGTACTACATAGATTAAGGAAGAAGAGCAGGTGAATTTTTTAGGGTGGATATTTCAAAAACATTAATAAACATCAGTTAAAACAGGTCATGTTCTTTAAGCTTGAAGAATTTTTAAGCAGTCTTCATTAATTTTCTGTCCCATACACACAAGCCCCTAAAATGTTTAGAAGAATGAAATTGTCCTTGAATTTTAGCAAAGATCTTTTTTTAAAAAATGGGGATTATCTCATTTCCTTGGACCACTAATAGGGACCTTTGAAATGATTAAATATAAATAGAAATACTTTAAAATATCCAAAGTAGTACATATATATAAGTCCCCAAGTTAATTGTTGACTTTCTAAATCTCTTCATTAAGTTATTTTTTGGAGTCAAATTTATTTTCCTGTAGACATTAAATGATTATTAATACCCAATAAATTTGTAACCATTATGTATAGATTGTTTTTCTAATTTTGGTTTTTCTTTCATCCTCCTCTCTTGGTTTCTCTTCCTTTTTCCTTTTCTTCTGGTTTTTCTTGGAGTACCAGAAGAAGTCATTGGTTTTGAGATTGTAAACATCATAATTAGTTCAGAGTTTGATTATGCATTTCTTAACCTCTACTGCCTAAGTGACTTGAAAAACTTATTTTTAAGTTCACTGAAGATGTTTCTTTATTTTACAAGGAATTGCTAGTGAAGAAACCCACAGAAAGCATTTATTTTACAACAAATATAGACTTAAAATGTACTTCTAGTTCTTGTCCTTTGTTCTCTCCCCTTTTCCTTCCAGCTGAATTTAGGAGATAGTATATGTAAACATACATTTCACATCTTTGTTCAGGCAGGCAGTCAGAATGCTCATGAGCTTCTCTTGCAGGTATGCTGTAGCCACAAAATTAACCAGAGAAGAAAAACAAAATAGAAGAGACCCTACACTATTTGCTGTTTAACCATTCCGCTCACTCATTCTAATTTTGGAGGCCTCCTCTTTGATAGTCATCATTATCATCCACTGGTTCTACTACTATTGAATCTATAGTAAAACCAATAGGACCTGTTTTTCTTTCTTGCTGAGGGCAGCCTGTTTGGATGTACTACCTTCTAAGTCCAGTGTTGTAACGAAGGTAGTTCTATTTTATTTCATTCATGGTGTTTCTTGCTATAAGTTGACCTCAAAGATAAAAGCCACTTATTGTAGGGATCCATTAATCTCAATCTTATTGGTTCTACACAGTGAGAAATGGCAGCAAGAATGAGAAAAAGATAGACAAGAAGACAAAAGTTGAGCTAGGTGGTGGCTGCCCTGCCTGGTAGGTGAGATGAACCTACCTGCAGAACAAAACTGATGCTTATTTATACTTTTGCAAAGTTAGTAACACTGTGACACAAGATTGCCTAGGGCAACTAATAGCTGATGTTAACCAGACAGGATGTTTAATCTCAGGACTGAGGTAGCTTGTTTGCTTTAAGGCACCGAGTCCTATTCCACCTATACATATTTGACCAATATTCTCGCTTCTGTGGCTCCCAACTGCTTATTAATCCTCAAAATTCTTTTTTATTCATTTATCAAATGCCTCCTACTGTATGTGAGAACATAGGAAACTGAGGTCTTTTCATTGGCCTATTGACTTCAAATACATCTTTAGTATATTGCATGGTTTTGTTATTGATTAAAGATAAAATGAGTAGATAAGAGA